CAATAATGTATATTTTTTATTTCAAACAGCATAATTTGATTACCTACATGCCTTTGTAATTGTTACAATAAAAATGACTTGATGTAAGCTTCATCAAGGTGAAATTGGCTTTTAATAATATAATGCAATTTTAAATTATCGAATGTTTGTTTCCATTCGCTACAAAGCGATTAAAAACTTGCAAAATTTCGGAAAAATATTTGTAATAAATATTCTTTACGACAAGTAGAAGTATTTGTACGATTTCTTTGGCTGGTTCGACATTAAGTTAGGTACATACATATAATAATTATACCCTTTTAAAATCGGTTATATAACTATCATTAATAACGTTAATTTGCAAGCCATAAATGCACCCATAAAATTTCCTAATCACGCGACAGAACGGCTAATTGGTTTATTTTTAAACAAATGAAATTTACGTTTGTGCTAAAAGCGTCTTGTTAACGTTTTTAACATGTCGCACCCACATTAACGCGCTTCCTTTTGTAGAAATGACGGTACGTTTTCCGAATTACGCAACTTCCCAAACCAGGTGTCGCTGATAAAAGATTTTTGCACTACTGCCAACACAATAGAGTAACGTTTCACTAAAAGGTTAATTGCACTGCGCAGAGCACGGAGGGCCTGTACGTAATAGAATAATTGTTGAGACATCCATTATCAGCGATATTCGTAAATTACAGGCTCAATTGTTGTTATTGGAAAACAGATATGTGTCGTATCAGCTGCGTTAAATTGGCGAAGGTCGAATGAAAATGTAAAGGTCGCCGAAACAGCCTATTAAAGTTTTGTTACAAGATTTCCAGCTGATTAGCCAATGCAATTTGCACCTGACGGGTGGTAGAGCTTTTGCCAGTCCCAGGCCTGGAGTAGCCAAAATGCACAATCGTCTAGTCTCTAATAAAATAAGCATGTAACGGTTTATTTTCATTTCAAGCAGGCGCCGAAAAATTAATTATTTTCGTTAATAGAATATTGCAGGCAATAATGCAAAACGTGTAAAAAATAGTCATCGAAAAAATATTTAGGGCTGTCAAATAAAACGACTTCCGACAGTAATTTGTCGAACGTCTTTAAAGGTACGCCTCGCCTGCCAATATAAATTTACGATTCCTTTTTGACTTTCGGAGTTTACGCTTACTTTCACACTTTTTGCACACCTTCGGACTGCCCACGCGGCAAGCGCTATTTTTAGTTCCATTCATAAACCTTTTATACTACCTAAGATCTTTCGAAAAGGTGTGAAACCCTAATGCGTTTACAATTTTACAACCTTCACCCACCACCATGAGGTGCTCGAATGAGCCGGAGGAATTTATATTACCGTCTTCGAATAAAATTTATTGCAGTCGTTGAGGCATCTAAAATCTAAGACTTCTTAATTTTATTAATAAAAAAATCAGACTAATTTAATAGTACAGCAATGATATACCAATTAAGTATAAAATTAGTTTTTTTTTTAATAATAAAACGTCATAGCTCAAGTTCTATATTAACTTCTAGGCGATTTATCAAAACTAAAACATTAACATTCGAAAATACCACTATTTATTACCCGAAATGCATTATCGAATTGTAGAAAGTTTTCAATTTTAATCAACGTTACCTTGAATGCAATAAAACGTGTCTAAAATTATATGAGTGACGTTTTTATTACCAATGAACTTGAACTTGAAATAAGTTAATGCATCATTATTAACACCTCGCTGATATCTCAATCTCGATAGATCCAAAAACCATGGATACAACAGCATCGGAATCTAATAATAAAGGGTATAATAGTAACAATCAAGTTAACCAAGTTTTAATGTTTAATTGGCTCTGAACAATAACTAACCGGAATGATTCTAATTGGATAGTTACAGATGATAACATATCTAAATGAAACAGATACAGTTTAAATTTCGATATCAATCAAACGAACGTCGGACCAACCCTCTAATTAAGAGAATATTTAGCAATGTCACAACATTCGAATATGATATAAATTATGGACAATAATTTAACCAGAAAAAATTAAAAATAAATCAGACACGGTCCGTCTAGCTCGAATATATAAAATCATGTGACTAATTTTTTGTGATTTATACCTATAGCAAAAGCAGTGGCGTAACTAATGTCTGATTATATCAGAATCTAGTATGATTTGGAGTTTCAATATTTAGGAGGCTCAAAAACAAAATTCGGACGCTCTGCTTGAAAGTATTTAAGCGAGTTTGATATTTTTATCATCCGAAAAACGACCTATATAAAACAATTTTTCGTTGTTAATTGTGGTGCGTTCGAAAATCTTTTGATCTGCAAAAATTCGAATATATTAGTTTGATCTACGCACGACAAGACACATATCATGTTATTTTATAAAAATAAGCGTGTTTACCAGCAAAAAATTTCGGGTTTTCGTTCGTCACGTTGGAAATATTTGACGTTCCTGTTCGAAGTGGCAATGAAAAATTTACTATTGAAATCGAATAGCCGGCTAGGTATGTATGAAAATTGTTAAATTTTAATGTTTTCCCATTAAAATAAATTCAAAAATAGATTATTATTTCATGTAGAATTCGCAAAGGTGCAATACGTAATGCTGGAAATTATTCAATTCATCCAACGTATCGTGCTTTCTTTTACGTATTTTTAATTTATTAGAAATTACGATACGGCAAAAAATACCTTAATAAATTCACGTCTCACTGTCTGCCATCGACTTTATCTAAACGATTTTACGTTTTAGCCAGGTTTTAAATAACTCAAATTGCGAATACGGATTTATAATTTTCAAAACATTTAACACCAATTTTGCAATTATATTAACCAACTAAAATATACTGAGTGACAAAAGTAAAAGAACACCAAGAAGCAAATTTTATTTTTCATTCAAACTGTAGAGAGTGTGTACAGCACCACGGTGGTGCAACACATTATTAATTTTTTTTTAAGTTTTGTTGTTAATTTGATGAATTAATTTTAATCATTTGTTTAATTTTCTCTTATACATGTAACTAGAATAAATGGTTAAATTTCAACAACTATTTTTTGGTGTTCTTTTACTTTTGTCACTCAGTATATGAATAAAAGATTATTACTTTTAAAGGGCTTTTAAAATCTTTCTACATGTTAAATTTAACCCTTCTTGTTATCTTGCAAAATATTCTACCATTAGTATAAAATGACCAGATATCTTATTGAAGCATTTTTCCTCGCGTTTAATTTATCAGCGAAGTTACTAAATGATGTACAAATCCATGTAGCATAATTAAAAGAATACTGTCATTAAGAAATAAACTAAACACAAACTATTTTCTAAACATCCTGTACGAAACGCAAACATTTGTAACATTGACGCTAAATTCTCGTTTAGCCGAAATCGCGATGGTGTGATAACGAACCCGATAAATATTATTGTTTATAATTCCTTAGCATCGAAATTGCAACGTTCGCTCAAACATCGAGCGTACATCACGAACGCGAAAAAAAGAAGGCGTCGATTTACAGTCCGGAATCTGTTCGTTTCACCTTTGACATTGTTAACACACACGCCCGATTTGCATATACCGCGTCCCTCTTATTAAAAAAATCGACGGGCCATTCACTGAGATATTAAGCGATTTTTATCAATGAAAACGTTGCGTCACACCGTCGGTTCGCTCTGTGTTTATTTTCTTCAATGAAAAAAAAAATCGAGGAAATTTAGAAATTATAAACAGAAACGCTAGATGTATATTTGTTTTAGTTCCATGTTGTTAATCTATAGTGTCTTGAGGTAGTTGAACGAATATATCGAAGTAATATGTAACAAAATCGAAGGATGTATATATTTTAATGATTTGTAAGTTTTGCAGGATTTTTATGTGCTTAATTCCATCAAGATTTAATTATGAAGGATATTTGGTTGAATCATATTATGAAATGGATATTAGTTGAAAAAGATTAAATTTTGTTTTCGAGCAAAATGCGTTTATCCACAATAATACAATATAGTTATAATCTAAGATTTATCTCGATGACTCTTGGATTTTTTTATGTCTGATATTTTGTGTATATAAGTGTCGTAATAATATTAAGTATGTGTTGTTAATTCAAATTTTCTGTAAGAAATTACCTATACATATACGATAAAATAACACTAACCGTGCGGCTTGAATATTTTTAGATAACGCTGATTCCAGGAACAGTATATGTAACAAACAGAAAGTAATGACTTTTTGAGGTAGATATTCCTAAAAACTTTAAAAAATCATGTCCATTAGGTTATCTCTGATGTACTTTGTTAATTCGCGTTTCTACTGGAATCATTGTCCTCAATTTTTGTAAAATGTGAATGAACACATGTGTTTTGCTTTACTCACTTATTTAAACTTTTCAAGACACAACATTTATTTTATGTTAAATCATCAAAATTTGAAATTAAACGTATTAATAATAATAATAAAACACGGGGCGTCGAAAGCACGCATCTTCCTCTGATGCTTTTAAATTCAAAAATCCTGCAAGTGTAAAATGTGTTAAATTTTCTAAAATTTTACTTCAAAAAATAATTTAAAATGGCACAATTGCATCACAAATTCATAAAAATTTAAAGGATTTACACAATAACGTTTCATAAAAAATCCTAATCGTTTTCTAACTCATTAAATTACGGTTGGAATTTTTAACGAACCTTCGAAAAAAATTGTTTAAATTATTACTTCAACTAGAAGCTTTAGATAAGGAAATAAAAAATTTTAATTGCTTTATAGAGTTCGTTTGATAGGCCTTAATTTCCAACATTTTTTAAGTTAAAATTTTCCGAACCGGCATTTTATCGTCATGCCCAGTTAGAGCCAAAAATTTTCATTTATGTTTTTCGATTTTCTCATATGAATAACAAACCTTTAAAAATGTAATATATCTGTTGAAATGCGTTCTAATAATCACGTGTTGCATACTTTCGGCGCCAAGTAATTCAGATTTGAATTTTATCTTATAAAATAATACGTGTAGTCGAAAATTTAACTCACCAGCGGCCTTGTTCCTCGTCAGGCCCTTATCTTCGTCTAAAAGAGGCGACCTGTTCCTGGCTAAGGTACTAGCCCAAAGGGCTGCGAAACACACCAAAAACTTTAAAACCTTCATGATCTAAATGAAATGCAATCGAGTTATTTCACTGCACTCACCACAACTGCGAAATTGAGAGAAAAATATATTAAATAAATAAATCGCTAAAAATCTATCTCTCCATTATCGGAACTTTTTTATGTAATAGCGCCGAACGTTTACGACTATTCAGGCTTAGCACCGAAAGTAAACTGACGGTTCACGACGTCGTTCTCTCCGTTGTGTGTACGTCCTCCCTACTCCTTTGGTCCTGGAGGATACCCGCCGCAGGATAACTCTCGAACCAGCGTGGTATGGACCAATGGCGAAGCCGATTTAGACATTGGGTTTGACCGAACAGGACTAACTAAGGAAAAGCCGAAATACCCCTCGCACTTTAACACAGTAAATGATAAAGATAATGTAACGATAAGGAAAAATGGTATTGGAGATTTTTAATCTTCCGATTGGAGGGGGTATCTCATCTAGATAGGTATGTAAGCGTGGCTTAATTACGGATTACAGCCGATGTTATAATTTAGTATCTTCCTATTTTATTAAAGTCTCCACTTTTTATTATTAGATGTATTGTTTACGAAGAAAAATGAAAGTCGTGGAAACCCATTCTATCGAGGAAATTCCACCCTAAATTGAGGATAATTGTTCCGTAAAAAATGGGATTTTACCGTCAGGAAATTCCAAAAAAACATTGTAGGTTTACTCAATTATTCCACCAATAACACGTGGGTTTCATAAAAGTAGATTGTAGATTAATTAATAGACCGTGCAAAAAGATATACTACAATTAAAGTCAGATTTAACGATTGATCAATCCATCTATAAAAACCTCAAAATGTTCCGAAATTTTCGGGATTTTCCTTTAATCAGTTGCCCGGTAAAATTGATCTGTTTACAAACATTTCTATTTTTCAAATAATCGAGTAGGATGTGTTATGAATTCAATCAAACTGTCTGTATTCATCTATTACTCCAGTCAGTGCGATTTTTATTTCAATTCAAATCATTTTATTGACTTTTTAACATAAAATGGTAATTGATTGGAATAATTAAAATATGCATTTAATATACAGGAAAATCTCGGTAAGGAAATATATTCCGAATGAAAATATACGATTTTATCATGAAAACACGCAGATAGTTAGCTATAACACAAAAAAGGATTCTAACTTGAGCTCTTACAAAGTTACAATCAATTCTTTTTTTTTTCTAGAGAAACGTCAGTTAGGGTTATGCGGAAAAATACTTACAGATCGACAATTTGTTGCATAAGAAAGTAAAGTGAATTTTTTAAATTGCGAGAAAAAATAGAAATATACCCGGCCGTAAAGTTAATTGCTATGTAGTGTTTTATAAGGATTAACATTACCTCGGTGAAAGTTGTACATGCAAACTATTTAACAATTGACATTGTGCGCTTTGTATTTATTGTCATTCCGAGTTCGAGCAATTTTTTACTGTAATTATTCACTGGCTATGTCAGAGTTTCTTAAAATTTACAGAGTGTAATGAAGTTAGATACTAATTAATTTTCTCATCACGTACCTGAACGAGTCTAATCTTGTGGGGTTTTGTGTTGCAGATCGTTTCTTTTTAGGTAGAAAATATATTCAATAATTTTATTATCTTTTAAAAATTCTATTTCGTTTCGAGTCTTTGAAGAAGAAGATTAGTATCGAACACGCCTGTCAATAAATTTGGAGATTTGCACTTTTGGTCCGCATAATTTGACATATTTGTAACTCGAATACCACACTCTATTGATGGGATTATAAGTTTTTAGTTCTCAAATTCCAGGCGAGGTTGCGGTAAGATTTTGCCATTCGATCTAATTTAAGATGGTTCAGGTAAGGTTTTTTTATTGTCCAATCGTTTTAATTAGTAAAATCAAATTTCTCGTTCAAGATATTATACAGTGTTGTAGCGGTTCAATCAAAATATTGAGGGAAATTTTGGGTTTTCCCAAATCACCTTAACTTGGCATGGACTAAAGAGACCCCTATAACGATAATCTTTCTACATTGGCCCAAGGCAGAAATTCTATTTGATAATCTAATTATATTTATGGTCGTAAAAGTTAATCTCCTTTAAGATGCTTAAATGTGACCTCTGAATATCAACTTCTTCAGTACCTAGGATAGACTTTAAAGCCGGGTATAAATTATTCCTAGCATCCCCTAAATTTGGGATTTCCAAAACCAACAAGGTTTCTTAGACGTTAAAAGACGTTGCATTAATATCTAATAATTTATTAGAATTTTCTTGTAACTAAATTACATGCAACAACCGCCATAATAAAAAATATCTTGCTTATTCTGGTTGTTTTTTCACGTTTTAGAGAGACGCTTTAATTGCCAAACTGCAAATATCCTATACTTTCTATGGTAAACACTCGAGACAAAATCGCGAAAAATAATGCGAACCTCTTATCTGCACAACACCAACTATTAACATTTCTGTTTACAGATACAGGCGAAGCTGCGATATAAATATTTTGATATTCTGTGTCAAAACAGCGCCACATTTTCACACCGAAGATTTTATCTCTTGAAAAAATGTAGTGTTTTCTTTGATCATTTGTGTCCGTTACTACTGCAGTCAAGGAATACAAGTGTGTTTTTATTTAATTCATATTAATTCGGTTATACCCACAAAAGGGTAAATACTATTTAAACTACTAAAACTAAACTACTAAACTATTAAATTTTCTCTGTATTCGCCAATATATTCGCCGATATATTGTATATTACATAAGTGTAATACTCTAATCTGATATTTCCATAAAAAACATTTAAACCCGTCATTAATCATAAAATATTTTATAAATTAAACAGCAGTGTTCTATTTGTACTAACGTAAAATATAATTAATGTAATGCTTGTTAATAGCGATAAGAAAGTGTAATTATAAATTGTCATTTTTTTCGATAACGACTGGTTTGTATTAGGTATGCGATAAAACACTTACGAAAGATTTTTATTTTTTATGTATTTTTGTGTTTTAGTCTACAAAGATACGCCTAGCATATACCACGTATGATTTCAAGTTAGAATTGAAGCTTTGAAGAGGAGATAATGGCGATTTAAACTTTCCTCGTTCGATATACATTTTACAACTCAATTAAACACTTCTTGTAAAAATTTAACCATGCAAGTTTAAGCATAGGTATATGTTGTATTTACTAGATAAGAAGATATGGCGAAGAAGTAAAACAGTTTGCATAAAAAATTGCTGCTGGGATGCCTCCAAGGAGAAGAAACTGGTTGGATCTGTAAATTTTCCAAGAAATAAATTTAGGCGTATTCACGTTTCCAGAAATTTACGACAACATTATCAAACACTTATTTTGTAATATCATTTTTACGACTATTTATATTTACCAGACAATCTTAAAAATAAATGTTTTACGACATAATAAAAATCTATTAAAAAAATGGCTCATTAATAACTCGACTAGCCAATGATAGATTTCTTGCTTTTTCAAGGGGGCGCCCCTTTTCAAGTTTTCGAATCTACAACTATGTGCATCCGATTTTCTACATCTTTAGTTAGACAAAAAGGAGTTTATTATATAAAAATTTTGTTTCAATTTGCTTGGACAAATTGAATTAATATTAACTCAATTAGGAGTAATCAACATTCAACACGCATTTCTGCAACCGGCTTTCGCTATATCGGTGCCTATAAAAGCTATTCCAGAGCTTGCTGGAATATTCCAGAGCGCAAATACATTCCAAAATTAATTTTAATATCACTGAAACATTAAACTTTATAGCCATGTAGACCTCGCTAAAAGTAAAGCAAATATACTTTATTTTATTATTCTGATTTATAGATACGGTGTGTCCTAAAATCAATACCATCCGATAAACTTTACTTCTTAATTAAACCCTATATTATTAAGTTACATTATGTTCAATTTTACTTGTTCAATACTAGAAATTATTTAGGTACTATCACATATATGTTTTCTTAAAATTATTATGATGCCGTACTTGCGAGATTTTCTATATGCATGCTGCCATAAGCGAATTATAATTGAGTATTATTTATCAAATATCTGGTGAGTAAATTTTGGCGAGCTGACGCGGCGCCAGTGGTCATCCGAAAAACATTTTAACGTTTATAAAACGATGTTCATCAAAAATTATGGGAGATTTGAAATAAGCAGGTTGTATTAGACTGGAACCAATTTGATAAATCAGATTTAATAAAAACCAGTGGTGGAGCAAACGAGCAAAAGTAAATAGTAGGTATGTATAAGAAGCAAAATTAACAGTAAAATTAAGTTTTTAATCAGAAAAGTACCGATGTATTGTATTAATTAAACTGTACATAAAAATACAACCAATATTGTAACATAACTAACAAGAGGCCTTTTATAAATAAAGGACCGATTTATAAAAGTATCTTAAAATGTACCTAAAAGGTTCTTCCTAATTTCTAAAAATATTTTTGTAATGTAAGTATATTTGTTTAACTCAAATAAAAATGTTTTAAACGTTTTCCTTCGTCGCTAAAAAATATAATTACCAAATTTGTGCCTATTGTTACGCCACTGTTTTCAAAATATAAAAACTAATAGGTCGAATCTCGGAAAATAAACAGTGTTCTGACAGACTTTCCGCACAATTGGCAACAAAAAAGTTTGATTCCATCAATTAAAAGCGCCAGAATTAAATGAATAATATCTCGTCCTAATGATAGAAATGTGGATTTTTTAACCTCATTAGTGCTTTGCCAAGTTTTCAAATAACATAGGTAGCCGGGAAACTCAACAAACTTACCTATTATTTCCTCTTTTCGTATCGCTGATAGTAAAATAAACCGCCATGAACGTTGCACCATCGACAAATAATTAAAAGTAATTGAATCGTTTGAAATATATCCGCTACGAAACCATTTCGGTTTTTCCTAAAAAGTTGCTTAATTTTGACATTTGGTCTCGTAACGTCAAGGAATTCAGCAAGAAAACACTAGTTCATTCATTGGCTTGATTTCTATTGACTAAATTTTCTTCGAATTGTTTTTTCCTGCAATAACACGCGCGGCTATAATAAAGAAATTATTTGTTTTTTTTGCTATTGAATCGTAAATCTCGATTCGGGGAAGTTTTAAATTTAATTACCAGATATTACAAAATTAATAGGTATGTAAAATAAAATAATAATTTGCAGATATTCTGATGTCAATAAGATAATAAATTAAAAATTCACAATGGTGTAGTTAGTTATCTATCCATTACAATTTTCTTCCTTTTCTCTGATATTTACCGACATTGCAGAATCTATTAAAATGATGAAAACCCCATGTAAACCGCCCTATCGCTATAATTTCTACCGATTCTAACCATTACATTACTAATAGATTACCTTTAGGTCCCTGTAATCCTTTTCGAGGTAACGGAGAGGCTTTGACTTCGGAACTTTTAAACTTCTGGACTTCCCGACAATTAAAAACACATGTTTCGGATTCAGCAGAGATGTTCAGGGAACGTTTTCCATTGTTATCTTTTCATTTTGGATAACCGTGGCGTTAGCGCCTGAGGTAAACCTTCTTGATAATGCGTTGTAAAGCAATTTGGGGAAAGCAAATGCTTTTAGACGAATTATGTTCGTTGTTCTGTAGGGAGCACAAAAGGAGTAGTTACAAACTTTGTTTAGTGAAGGTAGGTAAATAAATTTAAATAAATATGCGCATCAGATTGGGTAAGATAATAAACTTCTTAAACAAAAGTTCCTTGTGAATATATTATTCGAAAGAACAAAAATGCTTGTAATTTTCCCCATAAAAAGTTCGAATATTACATAGAAAATGAAGGTATCAGAATAGTATTCGATCAATTAAATAAATCGACATGAAATTAAAACTGGTATGCTATAAATTAATTACAAAATCGCGCCAATTGGTAACGGATGTTAAAGTTCAAATAATATTAGTAGCAACAATCGCTGAAGGATATATCTATTTATAATCAGTCATTTATTAATCAGAAATTGCATTATGAATGACGGAAAAGATACTTTTCTTATTCTTTTCTTGGCGCCATATAGCGTATAAACATTTGTTTTTATACTACATTAAATACTCGATCTTATTTACGAGGGTATCTTTCACAATTCCCCGTTAATACTATTTACTTAGTTTTTTGCAATAAATAAAGTCATGAACTTAGTTGATATGTGCATACATTTTTGTATCTTTATAATCCGGTGGAATTGAGTGTGATATTCGCAACAATTTACAATCCGCTCGCATAAATTTGTCATAAATAGCGGCTAAGCAAACGAATTGGCTGTTAATTTATTTGTAAAATGTTAAATAAATAAAATTTATTGTCTATTAAAGTACAACGCAACATTGAAGTAAACGCGTCACTAAAGTTAATATTCAATAATTTAAATGAGGCGCCAGCAATACCTGCGACACACGATTATTAAAATATTGCCGAGTGTTTTAATCTTTGGGTGTGTTCGTTTTGAAGAACAAACAATATTTTTGTAAAGGGTTAATTAACTAACAAGATGCGATGCTTGGGAGTAATTTTTGAAGCATATGGTTCAATAAGCAATTCAATTTTATTCTGATTTATAATAGCAACGATGTTTTTTTGATTTACTAAATTACTTGCACAATTTTATCTTGAAATCAACAATTCACTTCTACAATATGCAAGATCATAATATTTACTCAAACTTGAATAATAAATTGATATATTTTACGCATTTTACGATTGAATAGTAATTTAAAATTAGTTGATAGATTCAACATGTTTATTTCTTAGCATATTAGTCATACAAAGTATTAATCCTATACCTAAAGCTTGGTTTCGATAGCTACATTTGTCCGATTGGATAAATATCTGAAAATTCCTCCAGTTTTTTCAAAATCATCTTTTTAATTTCTATGTTTTTCTCCCTCATTTGCTTCTCAATTTCATTAAACTTCTTATGACAGTGTGTTTTTACCTCGTCAAACGACATAGAAAATATTGGATTCGTCTCAGGATCTGAGATTTTCGATTTGAGCCTATCTATATCATGGTTCATGTTGGTTTCCGTTTCCCTGTAAGTGCTCGTTACCTTTTCCTTTAGGTCTCTCAACACCGCGCTTATTTCTTTCGAATCCAGATCGCTTTTTGGAGTATCCAACTTTATACTTTTAAGAGTGGATTCGAGCTTCTGTTTCAAACTTTGCACTTCTTCCTGTATCTCCGCTATCTGATCCTGCATGTTAATATCGATGTTAATGTTTAAATCAGGGACTTCTATCGGTTCAATTTTGTTGCTGCCGACTTTTTCTTTGATAGTATTTAGAGTTTCCAAGATATCTTTCGAAACTTCCTCCACTTGTCCACTCATTTCCGCTCGTTTCGATCTAATATCTTCGCTAAAATTTGCGGTAATATCACCGAGAAATTGCCAAGTGGTTTTTAACTTTTCGCTTCTCTCGCCGAACACCTCTGATTGCACGGAAATTGCTTCTGTTATGTCAGGAAGAGCTGTGTTGAAGCCATTTGCAGTGAAATCGTTATCTGAAATGGCGTCTTGAAAATTGTCTAAAAAACTGCTAATGTTATTTTTCATCCTCTCCGACTTTTCATCTGCCGTTGTTTTAACATGCCAAATATCATCCGTAATTTTATCGGACGAAGGAAGCAAGTTCACGTTTAAATGTAGGTCTGACGCGTTTGTAAGTTCACTTGCATCAGGCACTGCATCTTCAATGCTATTAGCAAAATGCATCAATTTAAGTTTGATATCGTCAATTTCTTTCTGCATTAATTCGTTCATTTTATCCAAGTCGTTGAGGATTCGGAGCCTTAGCGTATCAAATTCATTTGCATCTTCCAGATGAAGGTGTTTTTTCAAGCGATCGATCTTCGCTTCGGTTAACTCTTCCATGTTGTTAAAATCAGTATAAAATTTTTCGGGGAAATCGTTGATAATTTGATTGAAGAATTGTTCTCTCAAAAAGCGAGACTTTTCGTGAACCATATATTCGTCGAACAGTCTAATTGCTTCGAAATCTTGAGCAGCTTTGTGGTGCATCTTATTTATGCTTACAGTTATAATGTCTGCTCCAGTAGCAGTCTGCCGTCTATCAGTATTCTCGATGTCGAAACCTTGGGCCAATGTCTGGCTCTTCGACTGAACAAATCTGTTTAAATCTTGTTTAACATTTTCGGTTATTTGCCTCGTTTCTCTAGCAGTCGTCATGAAGTCCTTTCGTATCGCTTCAGCGAGATCGTCGAAGTTTATTTCGATTTCGTCCTCATCTTCTGGATCGGACATGGCTGTGGAGGATTTATACTTTATATGACTAACAAGAACGGAAATATTTAACTACTTCATCGATAATGTCAGTGGGTTTGAATTGCAACCAGAAAATTTGCAAATTTAATGACAATTGAACTTGACTTTACTTACATGGTTATTCAGCAAAGCTTTGTATAGAGAAAAACTATGTAGTTAGAGAGTTATCTTGATTACAGAAGAAAATTCAGTGCCTCAAACGGTGCAGTTATTTATTCTTTATATAGTTTAATTAGGGAAATACTATCTAAATATTTTTAATCCATTGGATACGAATTCCAAGTAGCTCGTTCGTTAAACGTAATTACATAATTTATTTATTACGGCTACGTTGGTAGACTGTTACTCATCGAAATGTTTGTTATGAAAACAGGTGTAGAAGACAATACATACGAAAATTCCTGCCAGAATAAAATTATTGGGATGTTTCAATTCAAGAAACTCAACCGCACAGTGCAAACACAACCACTTGCGCATTTTTATAATAAAATAATAAATCCGTTTATTTATATTACATTTGTGGCCTATAAAGCGATGATGCAACTACACCAGAAGTGAAGTTGCTCGGTATGTTCTCGCTTTTTGCACATCTGGTCCAGATCTTGGCAATTATTTCTTTAATCATTATGTGAGTCACATTTTGAAGTGTAAATGACGATTAATTAGCGAATATCTGTGGAATTGTATCGTTTATTAAACCGAAAAGAATAGTTGATATTAATAACGATAATTAAAATTCTAAAATGCACAAATTTAACGGTCTTGTGGAAACTTCACCATGAAGAAGCATCGAATGGATGCATTTTGAGCTATTATTTGGTGGTTTAAAAATCGATTAATCGACTGTTAACATTAACATTAACTGCTAACGCTTCTCTTACGCAACAGTTTTTTTAATTGTACCGCTTTTCGTCTTTAATTGATACGATAGTTTGCGAGATTGAAATGATATTCGTCATAAATAACGGTATAATAGAGTTAGGTTCTAAATTAAAAGTGACAACAGTTGATAAAACAATTCAATTAGATATAATATTAATTGCAACATCTGGTGATGGTTTTCCAAAAATATTGCGAATTCGATCCCAATTTATCTAGAGGTATACCTAATCTGTAAGATGATGTCATCTTGATTTACTAAAAATTTGTCGTCATTTATAAACATTTTCAACCGAATATAGGTTGTTTAACCTATAACATTTCTACATCTTCAATTTGAAACGAAGCAACGTATAATCAATCACTGAAATGTGTTTTAGTTATAATTCTCCCTTTGATGCAGCGGAGTACAAATACGTTTTTAATGCAGCGGAAAATATGAAAATAACGATAATTCGAATCGCCCTATATGGCGTTTATATATCAAACTGCATTTATCAAATCAATCAGCCTCTGGTTACATTGTTATTACTTGACTTAATACGTATTTTTAACTCGACGTTAAATTGCAGTCCACAATTATTCGCGAAAAGATTGATCGATTTAATATCGTAATGACATCATACCTTTAATTAAACGTAACAACATATTCTAACTGAGCAATTCTATTACTGCAATTGTCGCTTGATGATTCTCTTTGAATTCTCCTCTAATCTGGAATAGAAATCCAGATTAGTTTCCTGCAAACTCACCTTATAAGAATTGTTGAGGTAACCCAATGACGAGTTTTTCGATTTGCAGGATACTTCCAAAAAAACTTGATGAATAACACTTCTGAAAACTTGAGATTTATTGAGTATGATAACAAGAAACGTGAAAGGTCCCTGATTGTTTGCTGTTAGATTATCGTTTGTTTAAACTGTTGATTAGCGTTTGCCGAAAGTTCTTCAGTGGGTTTTTAGTTTACACACTGCTGTTTGAAATGTTTGAAGAGGTGTTTCCGACATTTTTAAAAAATGATTTGCTTACCAAAAATGCGTAATTGGTTCCAGAAATATGAAATCATTCTTCCTAAATTACGTGAAATTAGTTACTTGGATTATGTTAATTATACTTGTATTATCTAAGTAATGCAGTAATATGAAGGAATTTTTATTACGACATATGCTAGATAATTTATTCCACTTATACCATAAAAATTTTACTAGACAATTAAGTTACTTTTTGCACGTGTAATTGAAATGAACTTTTCTTCATATCGTAAGTAACATGAGTAGCACTTAAAAAATTAACAAATCTTTTTCTTAATTTATTCTTCTGTATTAGATACGTGCATGAATTATTCCGCAAATAAGCATTACATCAATGACTGTCGAATTGAATTAGAAACTATAAATTAAATTCTTATAATGACACGCTTACTGCATTTTAATACAAAAAAACATATAATTATACCCACATCACAATTTTACTGCAGATGTTAGATATTAATTTTTGATTTATTGCAATTCATTTTTGCAAAATGTCTTTTAATTGAACGCATATAATTATTTTATTATTGACAGGTAAACATTTTAATGAAATATTACTATTGAGTTTTCGGTTCATTTCTATGCATTTTTATTCCGATGAAAGGTTTCAAGAGCAATTTTACGAGGCCTTCGATATTTTAATAATACAATAAATTAATAATTATCATTGTATTTAAGAAAGCCATTACAAAAACAAGAATAATTTATTTAATTGTTATTATAAACTTCCTTCACATTTTTTTTGAAACTTTTCAAGTATTGGGAGCGAAAAAAGAAATTTAAACACCTAACGAAATTGTCCGTTATGCGGTATCTTTATATGATACACAAATCGAGAGTTAACATTCTTGACATCCTGTTTTCTATATTTAGTGCATGCACCCAATAATAATGAACCGGGTGAGCCTTATTTACATACAAGAAAATTATTGGCGAATTTTAAGGCTAGCCTTCTTAATAGCTCACGATTATCGGTGATTTGCGCGACTACTTTACATTCCACCGAAGGACATTTCATAGTCAAATAAAAATTTAATGGTAGGTACTTGTACAGGGCGTTCGAATGGTCTTAATAAAAAACTCTAATTCTTAGTACTTTATTTGCTCCTTTTAGCGTAAAAAGAACGCCAAATTTCTCGGTACGAACGATTAGAATAACGACCGGTGCCTATTTTTAAAGAGAAACAGTTAATATTCGTAACATTTGCTAACATGTCTACATTACTTGTAAGGAAAACCGTCTTGCGGCTCGCTATAAAAGGCAACTATTACGAGGAAAGCCTTATACAATAAGACTATACATAGGCCTCAGTCCATTTCACTGCAGTGACGTACTATTCAAATTACCGCGGAAATAACGTCGGACGCAATGGCATATCGTTCGAAAGGGAACTCGAACGCTGCATCAAAAATCCGGTCCTTTAATTACTTTAATAAGTACAATTCTCGGAAAAGTTCCCACACACGATCACACCGAAAGAAATCTAGATCATCGACGAAGTCTTCAGGTCTAGACTTTTAATTATAAATAATCCTCACATGGTCAGACAAGGTTAAACATCTCTGGATTCTCGGGGTGATGTTTTAGTACGGTTGGATAAAATGGTTGAGGATACTTATAGGGTAATGGGTATTAATAGGGAATTTCTGTTAATTGAGTTATGTTTGGAACACTTCGGATCTTGCCTTTTTGCAGAGCAGATCCAGCACAACAACTTATAAGTAAGCGATAATCCTGGTTTGTGGAAAATATGTGTTACTAGCACACCAGCACCAGCACCATACATTACAGATTTACCGCGTTCGAAAAGCTCCCATCGCACGATTGATTCCTTCATAAGTATCACAAAAGAGATTAAACTTTAACATCCGAGGCGACCTCTGTTCGATGGCTTTCGTTTGACCGTACTATTAATGTTATTGAGTTATTAAACTGCATGCTGCTGATTTTTTCGATGCCGCAGCTCGTTTGTGCTATCAATCATCATTAAGTCGCCGGATTAATTCTGTTGGTACATGATTCAGTACTCAACGATGAGAGATGTATTCGTTGCTAATTGGTACGATACCATTTGGACGCTGCGGCCAATTTTTTTACGATTTACTCTTACGCGAATATAACGAAAACCACGATGGTTTATTAGAAGGAATAACGGAGAGGATATAAAGAAAATAGATTGAAGAGTCTATTTAGAGTTTTTTCATTGATTAAAAATTATAAAACTAAAGCGTATGAGCAATTTCAATTACCTATAAAATTAAATTACCCAAAGGTTAATTGTGGAAATTTATTGGTTGGTAAGATTAAAAATTTTGTAGTTATTATAGTACCTATACGGATAATTTAAGATTTTAATAATAGTGTTACGACGAAGAGAAACGCCTCTGGTGTTCGATCACACCGATAGCACGTAAATAATAGGTACAAAAGCGCCGGTCTCGCCCATACCACAAAGAGACATAATTTGATTTCACGGGCTCATGGTAGAACGCAGGAATGTTTGGGCATGCTTGTATAATGACGAATCTTATCTCCAAACACTAAATGCAAACTGTTAACCTGTCTCTTTAGATCTTTCTCGAGATATTTTTTTGAGGCGCTAAGAATCCGTCTCGGCGTTTGTTTAAAGCACGTACGGCATCGGGACCTGGAATTTTCGTTGCATCGGCCAGCTCCCATTTTTTTACGAATTTGGATTTTGGGCTACTGTTGGTCCGCGGCCGGTCGACAATTCGAGGAATTTGAATATCCGATGGGATCGTAACGACATTTTCTGTATCTGGACGGTAAATCGCTCTTCGAATATTTCAGGCGTGTATCCCCGCAATGGAGCATTCTTTTTGAACGTTGGCGCTTCTTTTGAGACCCTTTTTATTGGACGTACGAATGTGACTTGTTAAGTTATTTAGGAAGATTTCCTGGGGGATAAGGCGTAAGGTGATTACCGCAGACCTACGGGTTCATTATGACGATAATTAAAGTGAATGGATCATTAAAGGAATTTCAGGATTAGATGTGGAGTTTAATTTTCTTGGTTTTGATTACTCATACGTCAGTTGTCGCCAGAAATTCACCATGCAATAGTAAACCTACTTTCAGTAGAGATAAGAACATTTCGTTTGTATATACG